CCCTTCTTTCTCCCCGTATCTTCTTGGAAAGTGACATTATTTTAGCCTTTTCCCAGTCTTTTGTCACTTGTCCATCCCCTGAGTTCTTAAAATAGTTATTGATGGCAGAGGTTGAGTGAGCCTACTCTGGAAGTGTGGTTACTGTGCTGTCATTTACTATGGTCAGACTTATCCCAAGTATTCTCCAACATTGCTTCACCTTGTTAAAAGGAAAGAGCTTACCTCTCTGCCATTGCTATTAATTAGGATAGACAGCTGGTCACAGATGATTCTTTAGCAAAGAATGATGTAAAAAGAGTGCATTAAATACTTAATTAATTTCAAGTTTATTTTCTGATTTGTCCTTTATTTGTGTTCAGTAGTTGTCTGATAGTTCAATTCTTCTGACTGCTGCTGTATTTATATATTTTTTTTTAAATAGTTGCTTTTGATGTCCTGTACTAATTACTTTGAATTTTGTACTACAGCCTTTGTATATGTGTTGCGCTGCCTGCATTTACTAGCTTGATCCTAGTTTTCATCTCCTGTACCTCTTTTGAACTGAAGGTAATGACAACTAATGACTTTCGATACTACTAGTAAAGTGTATTGGAGGACCACAACTCCTCTATAATGAAATAGTTTCCTGATGAAAATGCTTTTTTTTCTGAAGCAAGGAAAGAACTGTCTTTCTGCTCTAGGTTTCATTTCCTTGAGACTTGTAATAACTGAATTTATTGAAGTTCTTTTTTTCTGAAATTGTCAGTTTTTGCTTCCTTCTCAGAACCTTTCTTTATCCAAAGTTTGTGAATCCACTTTATGTTCTTCATATCACCTGTATTTCCAGGTCTTCCTAGCCAGTCTATCATTTGGTAGATATCCTTTCCCAGTAGTTGTTAATTGATTAAAATCCCCTTAGTGCTTCTAGAGCTTGGGATGGTTTTGCTGGCTGCTTAAAAACCTGTGCTTCCCATATCTTCATGACTTAAAAATTAAGTGTACATTCTTATCACAGATTTTTCACCAGGCGTACATCACTCAGAGAAATGGACTTTGGAGTTGATGTGAGTATGTTTGATAAACAGGAACAGATTGTATAACTTTTCTTATTGAAAAAGCTCCTTTGGCTAGTCTACTTGTCAGTTGTTTCACAAAGTTGTTGTTTTGCCAACTAAGTTATGGTTTGATTAGGTATTGAGACTTCTATTTTCTGCTTGTGTTAGCATCTCTTACATTAATAATAAGCCCATCTGTTCTCCACCTTGTCTTTTTGACCTTACATTGAATAATGTTGTTGTTTTCACTTAAGATCCTTGTGGAGTCCATCTTTCTTTATGGTTTTTTTAATATGTTTTCATAGCTTTGTTTCTTTCTCTGTCCTGCCACATGATGACTTTAGAGTTCTCCTTCCTGCTGTAGTGCCTCTGGACAAAGACTTGGTGGTGATTTGGGAGAGCCAGAGGTAAATTCAGATAGTTTCCTGGTCAATACTAGCTGCTCTGCACTGCAAATTTAATCCTCCTGTTAAACTACAGTAAATGCTACAAATAGTTTTAAGGAAAACTATGCTGAAATGGGCCACCAGTATCTCCAGCAGGGGGATATGACTCAAACATTGAAAATATCTCATAGGTTTGCTTTAGATTTAAATTTTCACTTGAGAATTCAGCAATTTTTTAAGCTTAAAAAGTGCATAGCTAAGGATTTCAGGCAACAGTGACTCTACTGTTTGTGAGAGGATAGGAAAATATGTGTGTAAAGAGGACCTTGCAGTTTCTGAATTCTTATTATAGGTGAATAAGGTGCCTTTTAGTAATAAAAGTAAGCTTATCTCTTTCTTATTACCAACATTAGCTCTATTTCCCAAGGTGACAAAACATTGCTGTGTGCCACCCTGACATGTTCTAGAACACATATTTTTGAATTGCTTGAATACACTTCTAATTTTTTGTGTTTTGTTTTGTGATTTTGAGTGCTCATTTGTTTTACATATACAGCACTGTTAACTATAGAAAAAGGAGCTGAGCTCTAAACAAAATCTGTAGTTTAGCAGTATTCCCAGAGCCATAAACCAGCTCTATTGTACAGCAGCTAGAACAAAGAAGAAATAAACTCTCAGTCCATAAATGTTCTTTGATGTGACACTGATATGGAAAAGTCCACCTATAAAATACTTGCAATACTTCTCCAGGGAGAAGCAATCTCCCTGTGGGATACATGGGCAGACAGCATGGTTAAAATAGTTGAAGCACTTGAGTCTTCCCTGCCTGTTACATAGCACCTGCTGACACAATGTACCTTTGTTTGTTTTGCGTTCATGAGTCATCCTGAAGGGGTTGAGAGAGACAGAAAACCTTTGTTGTGCTCTGGTTACTGCACAGAGCTGTGATAGTAGCAAGGCTACAGAGTAGTAGAGTCGTTGAATTGTGTGATGTCCCAGCTGCAGAGCCAGCATCTAAGAGTAGATAAAATCATGCTCTGTCATGCCAGTAGGTGAAAAGTCAGCTCAGTAGTGCTCAGTTTTGTCAGTGGAGCATTTGAAGAGTGCTAAGCAATCTTACTCTCATAAATTGTTCAACTGCTGGAACAGTGTCTATGTATCTCATGCATAGTAGGTAGGAATATCAAAATCCAAACACTCCAACTTGCTTTCCTATCATCAAAAGTAAAGAAAAAACAGGACAGAGAACGTATCTCGATAACTTAGGATATGACACAGAGCTAATAATACATGAAGACATGCTTTTCTCTGACTGGGAAAATGAAGTAAAACTTCGTGGGCTAGCATAACAAAAATTATTGATTTGCACTAAAGGCAAATCATTTGGTTAGAGGAACCAAATATTATTACAAACTTAGTATCAACCAGACGAAAGGATCCTTATCGCATGCTACACTTGGGAAACTCTGGAGAGGTGAGTTTAAAAGGGTTTACTTCAGGTCTCCCAGGAGTTCTGAGGCATCTGTGAACCTGGCCTGGTCCTGAACATCAAGCATGACCATCTGTTTTTAGAAGGGGGGGCATCTAACTGACAGCAGTCAGTTTAGTCTGGAAACTTTTGCTGTTTTTTCTTTGTTATGATAAAATGTAAGATTCAATGCTACTCCATGGGAGAAACAGTCTCAAATCTTCTGTTGTGCTTCTGTCTTGGCTTGCAGAAGAACAACACAGATTCCCTGCTGATGCTGATATGTAAATCCTAGTTCTAAGGTGCTGTCTTGCAAAAGTAAGGGCTTTGAGGTTGTGAAGGAAGGCTGAGTTAGATGTGACATGAAGCTTTGTACTGTCAGTGACACTTCCTGCTACTTGCCTTGTGCAGCTCCCTGCTCAGTGTCCCACCTTCGGTGGATCTCATTTAAACTTTTCCTGCTTAATCTGTGTGATCTGTATGCATACCAATTCAGGGCCATGTGAAGCCAGCTGTTGCACTCAGCTGGGCTGCCCCTCTTTGGGCAGGCTGCAGGGTGAGTCACGGATGGTGCTTTTCAAGGGGAAGTGGTGACAGTTTCCCCCACCTGGAGCATTGGAACAGAGAAAACTGTATGTATTTAAAGGAAACTGGCATAATGCTCCCAATCCAGATGAGCTGTTCAGTGTTACATGCTGTAAGGTTTATTCAAAGGATGTAGAGGAGAAGTTTTGGAAAATGGTAGAAGTGAGAAGGAAGTGGGAGAGCAAGTGACAGTGGCAGGTCACAAAATGAGCATTGACCTCAGAATGTAAGAGAAATTAAAAATCCTAAATTTCACAAGTAGTTTTGAGAGACTGAGTACCTTTAACACTGCAGTCAAGTTCTTGTTTCAATGGTTGCCTTCTGTTCACTTAAAATTTCTGAGCCGGTACTAATCTGAAATTAAGGAGTAAACAAATTCTTAACTTAAATAAATAAATCTTTACCCCAAGACATGAGTATTTTAGAGACAAGTAAAGTTGTCATATATATAAAAGACCTTCAGGAGTGCTATGGG